AAGGGTAAAACTAACTAACCTGTCTTGTCTCATGATGATCTAAAACCCACTCACGTTCCCTGTTAGTAGGTGAACAATCCAACACTTGAATTCTGCTTCACCATGATGGGAAGGGCCAACATCAAGGATCAAGAAGTGACTTCACTATGAACGCTTGGCCACCACAAGGCAGTTCCAGTTATCCCTGTAGTAACTTTTCTGACACCTCCTGCTTAAAACTCCAAAGGTCAGAAGGATGGGGGAGGCCCCCCTTTTACAGTCTGTATTCATACTGAAAATCAAGATCAAGCAAGCTTCTTGCTTTTCTGCTGCAGGGGAAGGTTTGTATCCTCCCTGAGTGCACTCTTAGGACACCTGACATTCTCATTTGAGACAAGTGTGCAGCCCCAAACTCCCCACCTGGCACTGTCCCTTGGAGGTCACACCTGGCACAGGCTTCAAGGAGCCCCTGGGGGGCTTCACTCCCCCACCTCACCAGATCAGTGAGAAAACAAGTAGTGGGGTGTTTCACCAGCAGCCCACAAGGACCGTGTGCTACTCCACAAACCCCTCTCAGTGCCAGGCAGGCACCAGGGCCCTCCCACTTGTTCTAACACCTGTCATCTCTTCGCTGTGCCAGACTAGAGTCAAGCTCAACAGGGGTCTCTTTCCCCACTGATTCCACCAAACTCATTCCCTTGGCTGTGGTTTCAGTGTATAGTAGGTAGGGACAGTGAGAATCTCCATCCATCCATGCACATCACTAATTAGATAAGACCTTTGGCTACATTAAGAGAGTCATAGTTACTCCTGTCATTTACCCACACTTCATTGGATTTTTTCACTTTGACACTGAGAGCACTGGGGAGAAATCACATCACGTCAACACCCGCGGCGGGCCTTCACCATGCTTTGTTTTTACTAAACAGTCGGATGTCCCTGGTCCGAACCAGTTCTAAGTTAGATGGCTAGGCGCCAGCCGAGGCGAGGAGACACGAGGAAGCATGGCCCTGGGGGCGGACCTGGCGGGTCAGAACCAGTGCCAGGCCCCGGAGAAGGGTGGACCCCGCACACGCGTAGGGGGAGGGCGCCGAGGCGCATGAAAGGGGACGAAGCCCAATGCCATAGAGAGGCCCAGCCGTGCCACGCCCCCGCCAGGCTCCCCAGGCGTGGCCACAAAGCCTGCCACAGCTGGGACACCCGCTCCCAGGGGGAAAAGAGGAAGGGATGAAGAAGGTAAACGCATGACCCGCAACCGTGAGGCCCACGCTCCCGGCTCAGCGGGCCGCAGGCACCGCTGCCCACTGTTCCACCGCCAACTCCCTCAGCTCCCCACATCCCAGCCTACCGGGCCAAAACCCTCCAGCATGGGGAGCCCACAAACGTGGTGGCGATGCCGCTGGGACGGCACAGCACTTGCGCCGGGGTCTTGGCACACGCTGGCGTTGAGGGATGCCTTCACTGCGCCACGGTCCCCCTCCAGACCCCCTCCTTGTCTCCCATCACTGCCGTGGCGCCCGCCACAGATGGGGCGATCCACGTGTGGCCTGGCCTTCGTCCAGAGTCACTGCCACCACCGGCGGCCCCCCAACATGCTGGGAGGACCTGCCGCCGCCGCCAGACCCCACCCCCAACACCAGCCGCTGCTGCCCTCCCCCACAACCCCCGCCCCTGAGAGCAGGGTAGACAGAAGAGGGGACCACAGCCTGCACAGACGGAGGGGGATGGGGCGGGGAGGGCCCTGCCCCGGGCCTGGGTGTGGGGCGGCAGCACCTCGTCCAACTACGGCGTGCGCCCAGCCTCGCTTCACACCCCAGCTGGACCAACCCAGCCCTTAGAGCCAAATCCTTATCCCAAAGTTACACATCCGGCTTGCCAGCCTCCCTTAACCAACATTGTTCCAACATGCCAGAGGGCTGTTCACCTTGGAGACCTGCTGTGGATATGGGTACAGTCCAGCACGAGATTTACACCCTCTGCCCCAGATTTTCAAGGGCCGGCAAGCGCTCACCGGGCACCGCCAGAACCGCGATGCTTTCCAAGGCACAGATCCCTCTTTCAGGGCAAACCCAATTCCAGGGCACCCTGCCCTTCCCAAAGAAAAGAGAACTCTCCCTGGGGCTCCCACCAGCTTCTCCAGGATCAGCCATGTTACCACACTAAACACCTCACAGCACCAGTCTCTGCCACTCCAGATTCGGGGGTCTGACCCTAACTCCCTTTCAATTGGCCAAGGCAAGAGGCCATCTCTTTGGAATGGCACTCACCCAATCTTTCAGGGCCAACTGACCCATGTTCAACTACTGTTCTCATGGAACCCTTTTTCTCCACACTTCAGCCTTCAAAGTTCTCATTTGAACATTTGCTACCACCACCAAGATCTGCACCTGTGGCAAACTCCACCCAGACCCTGTGCCCTAAGCTTCAATGCTCACCGCCACAGCCCTCCTACTCACCACAGTGTAGCATCCACAGGGTGTGGTGAGCCACAGGGTGGAGAGGAAAAGGGGTGGCCCCCCAAGCCCCACCTGGGCCTTGCACTCCAGTCCAATGCTCATGTACCACCAACAAGCCAGGTACAGGCCCAACACTCCAGCACCATCCATTTTCAGGACTAGTTGATTCAGCAGGTGAGTTGTTACACACTTCTTAGTGGATTCTGACTTCCATGGCCACCATCCTGCTTTCTATAGCAACCACCACCTTTTCTGGGGCCTGACAAGCATCAGCATCAGGCACCTTAACCTGGTGTTTGGCTTATCCCACAGCACCAGTTCTGCTTACCAAAAGTGGCCCAACCAGGCAACTCACATCCCACACCTGGCTCCACACCAGCGAGCCAGGTTTCTTACCCATTTCAAGTTTGAAAATAGCTTGAGACCATTTCGGCCCTAATTTCTCCCATTCGCTTTTATCAGATAAAACTGCATGCATGTGGGTCAAGTTCTGTGAGAGCACCAGCAATATGGAAACTTCAGAAAGAACCAACTACTAGAAGGGTTCAATGAGTCTTCCATCCCTAACCCAGGTCAGACGACTGATTTGCACATCAGGACTGCTATGGACCTCCACCAGAGTTTCCTCTGGCTTTGCCCTGCTCAGGCATTGTTCACCATCTTTTGGGGTCCTGACACAGGCGTTCTTACTCCACCTCCCTGGTGCAGCGGGCAAGACAAGCATATGGTGCTCCCTCAGCAGACTGGGGAGGCCTCAGGATCCCACCTCGGCCCCACACCTCTGGAGACACGGAGATGGCGCGGGGGCAAGCTGGGGCTTCACTTTCATTGCACCATGGCTGCTTTTGTGTGAGCCCCTGACTCACACAGATATCAGACTCTTTGTTTCGCATTTCAACACGGGTCAGGTGGGTGGCCAACATCGCTACCAACCTCGTGCACTCGCTTCGCTTGGGTGGCGTGGACCACGAAAAAACCCCCAGGCTCGAAGGCACGACCCGCCCGAGGCGCACCGGGGACAGTCTGCCCCACCTCCAGCCTCGCCAGCCTCGACCCCAGTCGCCAGAGAAGAGCGGCAGGGGGTGGGAGAGCGGGTCACTCGGTGGGAGGGCAGCCCGGCCCCCCTGGCTGGGCTGGGTTCCACACACCACCATGAGGCGACAAAGCGGGAAGAGAAGCCCGCGTGCAGAGCGCAGAGCGAGAAGAGCAACCCCATCCGCCACGAATGTCCATCCGTGGGCCCAGCACGGCTTAGACTGGCCAGAGAGAGTGCAACGTTAACACACTGGTGAAGCTGGAAATGAGCACACCTAGTGTTCCCGCCAGACAGGCCAAGAAGCGGGGCAAACCAGTGGGCGTGGGTGGCAGGGACCACCAGCCAACCTCACCACACAAACGCAGCAGGAAAACGCGGTTTGTGGAGACACACACAGAGCGCAACCCAGACCAACGCGCGCAGGCCCGTGCTTACCACGCTCCTCTTTCCCCACGGAACAGGGGCGGGAGGCGGACTACGAGTCACAACTCCAAAAGCACCACACGACCGTGGACAGACAACGTGTCTTCACGCACCTCGCGGTACAATCTGCCAACTCAGGGCAGAACAACGACGGGTCACGGAGGTGGGGATCCATACATGGATCGCTGGGGCCTCCTGGGAGGGAGGCGCGGCCACATGCCACTCAGCACAACCCCATCACCCCTAAAGAACCAGAAAGAGGGCAGCAGCAGACGCTCCACGGGCCACCTGGTCGACCCCACGCCCTTCCCTTCAAAATAGCCCCCGTACGAGCGGACCGCGGACAGGAGCACACGCGTGTGCCTGAGGAGCGGGACGCACGCCCAGAACGCGCTTCCACGCCGGGCCTTGCCAGGCACCGCAAGAAGACGCCCACGGCGAGCCGGCCTCCTCGAGAGGAGGGAATGCCCCTGCCCCTGGCCTCGGCCAAAGGCCGCGCGCGGGACGACTCAACGGCGCTCCACGACTCCGACTCTGTATGTGGACTCTGGAGAAGAAAACGGCGGAGAGGAAGCGAGTACGCCGCCCGGGACCCACGTGTGCCCCATGGTGGGCCCACCTCGCTCTCCGCGGGCCTCCACGTGCGGCTGCCCGCGCCAGTCCCCGCCCGCCGCACGAACGGCATTCGGAAAGCTCGTGCGGCGACACAGACGAGCGCCAAGAGCGGGACCCAGGCGTGCAGGCGACGGGCAGGCAAGAGCCCGGGCGGTCACCCGGGCGTGGCGCCCGTCCCCTCGCGTCTCCCGCGTGGCCTCCGGACTTTGGAAAATTCCGGAGGCACCGCTGAAGAACGCACCGACGCCAGGAGCGAGCTCCAAGCGAGTTCCTGGCGCCCGGTCAGGCTACCCGACAGGGCACGCCCTGCTTAGCACCTCCCGACGGCCGCGAGGCACCCACACCAAGCGTTCCCCCTCGAGCGACCCGGCCGGTCGTCCGGTCGGCCTGTCACCGCGGCCAGACGCTGGATTTTGGGGTGCGGGGGCGCGGGGGAGGCGGGCGCGGCGGAGCCGGCGCGTGCTGGTCGACGGGCATGGGCTACCACACACCCTTCATAATCCTGCAGGTACAGTCTCCGGCCAGGCGGTCGGGCGCCGACACACCGGTTCCAGCCGCACGATCCCACCAGCGCCGCCGGGCTGCTGGAAGTCCATTGCTTTTGAGGCGGCCAGATCGCCTCCCTTGCGACTCCGGAAAGGCCAGACGATATAAAAGTGGCCGCCAGGTGGTGCCCGACAACCGTCGCCAGCATCAGCGGGAAGGAGCCGAAACGCTGGTCGCTGGTCGACCTGGGCGCCCCGCCGCTCTCCTGGAAGACCCATCTCGTCCGAGCACACCACGTCCACCTCGGAGGTCCGGGCCGCCGTGGCGCGACCGCGGCAGTGGGAGGGGGACTCGGGAAGAAGACCTTCGGCTCCCGGGCAGCTGGGGCCGGGCGACTGGCACGCTACACAATTTCTCCGGAGTCTCTGGCGGGCGAGACCAGAAGGACCGGACCGAGCTTCCCCCACTCCCACCCCCGCCCGCCTCTGGCGCGCCGACTCCCGGGAGGACCCAGAGAAAATCGCGGCGGCCGGCCCGGGACGTTGCAAGCTAAACGAGGCCACTATGCTCGGGATAAGGACGAACATATTTATTTATTTATTTATTTATTTATTTATTTATTTATTTATTTATTTATCTATCTATCTATCTATCTATCTATCTATTTATTGATTATCAATTCTCCCTCCTTATTTCCTTTTCTCTCATTTCACACACATCGACTCTGTCAGGGGTAACATTGGTTCACACAAGCACATGGGACCGAAAATGAAATGAGATCAGGGAGACTGGATGGGATTCTTTGAAGAAAAAGAGGCGGGAGGAGGAGGGCAGAGGAAGGAAGAAACCCATACCGGTCTTTTCTAAGGGTAACACTCTACAAATCATCATCTGCATAATGCATCCAGCACTCCCCACCCAAAGTATAAAGTCTCTCTTTGTCCCGTTTATCCCTAACCCCCACCTCTAGTCCTTCTCTTTTCTTTCCTTTTGGGTCCTTCCTCCCCTCGTCCCCGCCCCCCCGCGAGCCCCCGGTCCCCGCCCCCCCCCCCCCAAATCTATCACTTCCAGCACCGGGAGTGGGTGTATCCAAAACTGAAAAACAGAGCCCGGGAGCCATACGGGCAATAAGCAGCAACGGCGACTACAGTGAAGTTTAAGAGAAATCCGACTCTGAGTACATCACAGCAAAGCCCAAAGATGAGAAGAGGATGGGTGTGGGGAACATCGGTGCCCCGTTGATAGTGAGTCATGGGTTTCAGCACCACTTCACCTTAACAACAACCACCCGGTGGGGGGGGGGGGTAGTTTGTGTGTTAGAAACGAGGGAAACCTGGAGAGTGAAACACACACACACACACACACACACACACACACACACGAATCAACCAACAAACACTTCCATAATTGGAAAAGCAAAGAGGGTGGTTAATGTATAAGAGGACTGAGCGGTAATGGGAAGCAATACAAGAAATATTTTTCAAGCACACCTTTCACTCTCGCTCCCTCCTTCCCTCCCTCTCCGCGACCCCTTCCCCCTCTCCCCTTTCCTTTCTCTCTCTCTGAAATCAATGTATCAATAAAATAACAAAGATAACAACGCAAGTGCCCTGGCTGGTGTGGCTCAGTGGACTGAGCCGGGGCCTGCAAACCAAATGGTTACCGGTTCAGTTCCCCATCAGGGCACACGCTTAGGTTGCTGACCTGTCCCCCAGCGGGGGTTGTGGGAGAAGCAACCACACACTGATCTCTCTTTCTCCATCCCTTCTCTTCTGTCTGGAAATTAATGAGTAAAATCTTAAAAAAAAAAACAAACCCACAAGCGACTTGCTTGAAACAACAGAGCGGTAGAATTCAAGCCTATGCACCCATTCCCCGGTCCCACCAAGACCCATGTGAAAACCTCCCCTGTGTTTTCTGGGACACCACACTACCTGTCACAGACTAGGACAGCATGGAGAGGGCAGAGCATCCATCCATCCATCCATCCATCCATATGAGGATATGGGGGCAAAGCCATGAGACTGTACTAGGGCCACACTCTCCTGGTATCCTTGCAACACTCTCATCCACCACCGTGTTCTGATCCCCAACCCCACACAAAAGGAAAACAGAGGAAAAAGCTGTAACAAGGATGGGATCCATAGGGTAAAAGAAATCTGACATTTCGGGCCATGAGCAGTTGATGCAGAGTGCAGTTCATTCACTCTCTGTGTTGGACACTGGAAAATTGTCTATGGGTCTTTTGTTTTGTTTTCAGGAGTTCTGCACAGTGACTCCTCTCATGTGTGATTTCATTTCATGTATTCCATTTTAAAACTTGTATAATTTCATGATCCAATTTCACCCCAATCAATTCAATGTTAAACCAAAGGAGAAAAGAGAAGAGAAGACCATCATCCCTGGCAGATCGTCTGTGGCTCGGTGGATTGAGCACCTACCTGGGAAGCAAGGGTCGCAGGTTCCATTGTCAGTGAGGGCACAAGCCTCAGTTGTGGCCCAGGTCCCTAGTGGGTGGTGTGTGAGAGGCAACCACATGTTGATGTCTCTCCCTTCCTCCCACCCTTCCCCTCTGACTCTCCATAGGTAGATAAATTCTTTGAAAAGAAGAAAATGAGATACACAGATTCACATGTTGTTGTCTTCAGGACATTTGCCTCCCTTAGGACGGACACTCTCGGGCCCAAAAGTGTTTTTTAGGACAGAGAACGACTCCCACCTCACCCAGAAGCTTGGGCTGCGCATTGGCGACTCCAGGAAGTTCTTTTCCCATCTGTGTCACCCAGCTAGTTTTTTGTCCCAGCCACAGCCCAAAAAGGATTTTCCAAGTCCTGCTTCAGCTCAGTCTGTAGCCCCTCCTCATTGACACGACCATGTTCATATCAGTAGTCAGGATTTACCCGGAGACATCATGGAGACCACCAAACACGTATGCCCACAGGAGGCAACATGTCTGGTTCTAAGCAAGCAGGACACCATGCAAAGTTCTATGGCACAGATGATAGTACCAGAATTGAAAGAGGGATTTAAATAAAACTAGAGGGAAAGGAAGAGAACTCAAAGAAGTGAATAAGAGGAAAGTGACATTATTTTTTATGGAAACTGGCATTAAGTGTTCTGGCAATGCAGATCACATGGTCTGCATTGTGTTTTGGGTTAAACTAGTCGGTCAAGACCAAGTGTCAAAACAAAGATGTGTGTATCAGGAGGGAGGGTCCACTAGAAGTCACTGAGCAGACTGCCCAGCTTGCAGGCTCATGGGAGGCACAGGGTCTGAGCCTCAGTGTTACAGGAGCTATGGAAGATGATGCCCATTAATGATGACATTAATGATGCATTACATTTGATGACATATTCATTTCCTGAATTTCCCCTCCACCAAAGGTGAAGAGGTAAAAATGTGGCCCAAGTGGTGCGCATTGTCAAAGACTACATAGCCCAAAACCCAGGCCTTTATTAGGTGGTATTTTGAGCTCCATCTCACCCTTCCTTGTAACTTTGCCATGTCTGAGGTTTTCTTTATCAAATACATGCAACACCAGCTCACAGGCATCATCCTGCACTTGACATCATAGACATACGACAATGTCTCTAGAGATGAGTTTCTCATACCATCCCCACTGTGCATGTAGAGTTTCCAGTGAAGTTTGGAGCTACACAGTGACTTCTCCAGGACACTAAATTCATCAGAAAACCACAGTCTACCCTGAGGACTCCTTTCCGAAAATTCAAACAACAGGTCACATGTCTTGGAAGAAAGCGGGGGCGGGGGAGTGGCCCTGTGAATACCTCGTGACATTTGGAGAGGGGCTGTGGGTGATAGTCAACAGTCCTGTGGAGTTTTTAGGCAAGTCTGATTTTTTCGAAGGACCAGGAAATGGCACCTTCAAAAAGTGGCCTTTCTCAATGACAGAAAAATAGAGAGGTTGGAAGTCTCATTACCAGGCATCCACAGTCCTGAGACGGGTCCTTGTCTAGCTCCCCCAACTGTAGAGAGAGTGGAGAGAACAAGATGATCTCCACAGTCTCGACACTTTCATAGGCCGTGAGTGTTGAAGAACCTATCAGAAACCTGTTCCTCTCACTGCCCACCACGGCTGGCTCCAGTCTCCCGTATGACAAGAGAGTGTGCCTGCAGGTAACTTATGGCAGCCCTGTGCAAGACCATTGAGGTGAGGTCACAAGGGTGATCTCACATGAGCACAAGGGCTCACATGTCAGCCCTTTCCGATGCTGTGTGTGTCTGGGTGGAGGGAACTGCAGGAGAAAAGGGGAGCCTTCCTGGACATCAGCAGTTTGCTCAGTATTAAGAGACTGCTGGGTCTGTCAAAGTGTGTATCCCTATCAGACAGAGGTTCTTGTGGATGGGGTGGTGTTTTGGGGTTCTTAGGATACAATCCCAGCAGGGGCATCGCCAGGTCAAAAGGCAGTTCCACTTTCAGTCTGCTGAGGAAATCGCACACCGCTTTCCTCAGGGGCCGCACCAGTCTGTCTTCCCACCAAGTGCTCCGGGGCTTCCTTGTCTCCACATCCTCTCCCATACTCGTCGTTTGTCAGTTTGTTCACGCTGGCCCTTCTCACTGGTATGAAGTGGAAATTTGTGGTGGCAGTTTTAAGATCTGCATCTCTCCAATGGCTCGTGATGCTGAGCATCTTTTCATAGGTCTCTGGGCCATCTCCATGTCCTCCTCAAACAAGCATCTGGGCAAGTCCTTTGTCAGTCTAAGTTCTGAATGACAACACACACAGGATTGTCATGACATGCATAAATGCTTCACTGCTATAACCAGTGACAGTGTTGCTAGGCAAATTCTCGAAATGTAGAGAGAAAAGGAAAGGAAACAACATTTCAGAAATCTGGGGTTACTAGTCATGCACTCTGGGAGTGAGCCTCTCACAGCAGGCTATGAATAATTCTCACAAAGTTCCTCAAGAAACACAATTGCATAATTCTCTCCCAACCACTCCATAAAAAAGGACACATAAAGCTCAAAATTTTCTTCCAGCTCGTGGGTCCCATTCCCTCCATACATGTTTCCAAAAGGCTGAGAGTTTGGGGGTGGGCCAAAAAGGCTGACATTTTGGGGGGTTCACGGTGATGTGGCTTCCCATTTTACTTAGCATGAGGATCACACC